GATATTCAAAGAGAGATAGATTAAAAGATCAGTAAAAAAAAAAAGTTAACTTACTCTTGACAACCAATCTTCAACAAAAGAGCAAAAGGCCGTATCATATTATCATCTCTATAGTTTCACGAGCGTAAAAAGTTTAGTGGTAAGTTACTTATTGTTTTGATTGATTTAAACAATAAGTTAAATCATAAACTAAAAATTTTTTTTTTATTTAGCACTGGTTTCAAATTATAAGAGCGAGTAATTTTCAAATGTATGACGAATTACCACCTTATTTATCGATGGGACATAGTTGTCATAATTTTCCTACTAAACAAATTAAAACGCCCATTGGAGTATTTTATGGCGGAACCGACAGTTTGGTTGATATTGAATTTCTTTTAAAACAATTGCCTAAACCTGTATTTGTAAAAGAAGTCAAACCTTACGAACATTTGGGTAAGAATATTCTTTAAAAAAAATGGTTAAGAAAAATGTCGGAAATTGAAATTTTTTATTTTTTATTTTTTAGATTTTCTTTGGGCATCAGATGTGCACAAGACAGTTTTCCCTGAATTATTTGAATTATTGAGTAAATACAATGTATATCATTGTAAATATGAAGATGAAATTGAAAATGAATATCAACATATTAATAATTGAAGGTAATAAATTTTACATGATTAAATAAATTTTTTCATTAAATGATTCTAAAATTCCGAAAGCATATCTTTAACAGCAGCATAATATTGCTTTGACACAAACTTTTCCATCTCTTGTTTTGTTACCCAAGCAAAGTCCACAATTTCCTTATTATCTACTTGTACTTGTCCCGCAAATATGTGAGCTTTCATAAAAAACACCTAAAAAAATTTTATTATTATTATTATTATCAACTAAATAGACATACAAGCAACTTTTAATATTTAATATATAAGTCATACCATGGCTCCTCTAGCTTCTATATCTTCTTTTACAAAATCTTTTGGATAGGTATATTTATAATAACCAATTGGCCTTCTACCTACAAACCAAACATCCATCTTTTTACCACACTCCTCTTCTAATTCCCTATGTGCCGCCTATCCAAAAAAAAAAAAAAAAAAAAAAAAAAAATAATTATATATTAAGTATTAGATTATTTTATTTATTTATTTAATAAATTGACATAGATCTTACTTGAACTAACGTTTCTTTTTGGTTTACACCACCTTGAGGTAATTGCCAATCATGTTCAGCCCTTGGTTTTTTTACTATAAGATATAAAGTTCTTTGTAATGCTCTATCCAAAGATTTTAAATCATTGTTTAAATCTGCTTGAGTTATTCTACTAGCAATTTTAATTTCTTCCTCCTCAACATCATAGCTTTTAATAATACTTTCTTTCTCCTTATTATCTTCAGAATAAGTTTTATTATTCTTAAAACTGCTAAAAATTGCTAAAGCATTTTTTTTATTTTGTTCGTCTCTTGCTTTCCATTTGGTTTCTGCTATACTACCTTTTTTAAAATAAAAATCAACTGGAAAGGGTGGTGAAAGAACCTGATCCAACTTTTGTTGATAAGTATAATATTCTTTTTCAAATGGGTGTAAATCTCGAAGAATTTGTGGTGAACGTGTTAATACTATACCACTAACTATTCTATAATGATGTTGTATAACTGGCTTCTTTTCCGTTTGTTTTTGTGTAAGGGAAGAGTATATAGGAGGTAATAAAGTGGGTTGTGTTGCCGTAATATATGTTCGCGTGAAATATGAATTTTGAATACGACGAGAAATGCATGGTATAAATTGTTTTACTATAAAAGAATTAGAAATTGAATGATTGAGTTAATCCTAATCATTATATTGTATTTGTAATTTAATGTTTCATTTAAATGAAGTGCATTTACCAAACATCGAATTCGTTGACATTCTTCCTATCTTATTATCTTCCCAATATTCCTTAATTTTTTTTTTTTATAATTTTTTTTTAGATGCTAAGCCACCCTGATCGATTGCACTAATTCACGTGAAATTTTATTATTTTACAAGAATTTTCGTGTCGGAAACTTGATTTACCAGTTGATTATTGATTATTGATTTACCAAATTTAAATAAAATAAAACAAACCAAAGAAAGCAAACAACATAACATTTCAATATTCTATAAATATCATAATTTTTGGTTTTTTATCAGCGATTGGTGTAGGTTAAGGCGATACCTACTTAAATTACGCGAGGGTCAAACTCTACAAGCGGAATTATCGCCAACCTTTTGTTCTCATTGAAGAAATTTATCAAAGGTAGTCTAATTGCTACTTAATTATTATTTTATTGTTAAGTGAGATGCTTTAATATCTAATAGTTATTATTTCTCACTAGTAACATGCCATCTGGAATTTGCCGTCAAAACGCGTTTTTTGAGGATGATTTTCCCGTTGCAGAAGAGGAAGCACGAACCTTTCGAGAATACCATGAAAGGATGGTAATGATGAACGAGCAATTGCAAGACAAAAGGTAAAAAGGTAATTATATTATTTTTTTTTTATGATAGCTGCACATTTTGATACTTGTTTATTCATTTAGTCCCGACAAGAATCAAGACGAAGAGACACAGCCAAATTATTTTGCACGAGAAGTGTTGTTTTGGTTTTGCCTGATTTATCAAATATCGATCAATTTTTGGAATTGGAATTATTATCATTTAAAATGTTTCATGAGTAAGTTCAACAGAAGAAAGATTGCTCTCAAGTACAACGACATCGTCTATAAATGTAAAACTACCTGCCATTATTTCCTTGTGTTGTTCATGGAAATGATTCAAGATTTATGGGAAGATTTTAAATTTAACTTGGAATTTCGTACACAAATATTCAGAGTCATCTGGATCCCTTTTCTCCTTGATGTCATTGTTGAAGATTGGTTGTCAAGAGTAAGTTAACTTTTTTTTTTTACTGATCTTTTAATCTATCTCTCTTTGAATATC